GACTGGAGATAATCCCCCAGTTGGGAAACCCCTGGCGAGTCCCAGAGGGGGTTACAGGATCATAACACAAAGCAGTGAAAAAGATCCACTCAGGTCCATAATGATTCAAATGGAATCATTGAGGGATGACTGCCAATGATGAATTGATATTCAATGAGGGAAGTCATTCTGGAAATGAGGAATGGTATTCATGATGGCTATGCATCAACAGTAAGATTGTTTCTGACATTGCCAATTGGTCAGGTTCAAATTGTGACTGACAAATCCCTTTCATGGAGCAACTCTTTTTCAAAGCTTAATCTTCAAGGAGCTTACAGCTTGATTCATATTTCTGAAGGCCAGGAATGGTTAACAGCAATGAGGACCAGGTATGGTAGCTTTTTTATATTTTAATTCCTTTTGGGATTTGCAATGCTCCTTTGATGTTTCAAAATTCCATCAAAAATATTTTAGCTGAACTTGTAAAAGTTTTTGTGGTGGTATATCTCAATTATATTCTAATCTACTCCAAGAAATTTTAGGATCATGTTCAGCATATTCAAGAAGTGCTTCAACACTTTCAAGACAAGAGCCTATCTGCTCAACTGTGGAAACGCGAGTTTCACAACTCATCTCTCCATTTTTTGGGTGTTATTGTCTCTTCAGAATTTATCAGCATGGACTTAGCTCAATTCAAAAAATTACTCAATTCCTGAACCCACAAGTGCTAAAATGCTTCAAGGTTTCCTAGGTTTTTCCCATTTTTATTGTAAATTCATTAAGAATTACTTCAAAACCATTTTCAATCCTACTTATCTTCTTCAAAAGAATACTCCTTTTGTGTTTACTAATCAAGAATTACTTCAATTTGAAGCTCTCAAAAAATCTTTTACTTTGGCTTCCATTCTTGCTCATTTTAGTAAACTTGCTTAAACTTTGATCAAAATCAATCCTTGGGTTTGATATCAGAATCTGATGACTCCAGCACTTCTGGGGCAAGATCCAAATTAACTACTGCATTGACTATGAAATGTGCTTTCCAAAGTAAGCATAGCAGTTGTAGCAAAAACAAGAAGATCAGAAAGAAGGTGAGCAGAAGCAGAAAGTCACAGAAAGAGGCTGCAAAAGCTACTGGAGGCTAACCATGAAGTGGCCAACAGGTCCTTCAGCTAAGAAGAAGGTGTACTTTGCAGTGATCAAGTCTACAAAAAAACCAGCACAACTTGACACCCATTAATCACAATCACCACCCCAAAAAGGGAGGCAATTTGTGCAGACTGCCATGCTGTAACCAGTGTATACCACCAAAATAAATCCACTGCTACACCCAAGAAACCCCTCAAACATGGGCTATACCCATTTGTAAACTCTGCCTCTGAAGCCCCATGACAAAGGTCATTGCTTGTAGTTTTATGGATTTAACAACAGGTTTATAACTGAGTTACACTGTTGTAAGAAGGGAGTTAATGATGTGTAATTCCTAGAGCAATGTTTCTATAAAGGCAACATACAATCATTGCCTCCCCTTTTGGGGTGGTGAATGCCACACATGCAAATTTTAACAACAACAACCTCAACTCTCCCAACTTACCAGCACCATATAACTTGGGAAACACTAGCATCACCATTGGCTTGAATCAAGGTGGGGGAATATGAAAACTGCAGGGGACTCTGTGCCAATTTACCCTCTCCTGGAATATATGGTGTGCTTTGAGTGACTTCTTTCATTCACTGATATATTTGTCTGTCTGATTAGCTGTCTCTCCTAAATTGTCTGCCTATTTGTCTCACTTTGCCAACTTTGCACATGCATCTCACTTTGCTTGTCTGCCTTTCCGTCTGAGTTTGCTTGTCTGTCTGTCTGTCTCATTTTGCTTGCATGCCTATCCCTTTGCTTTTCTGCCTGTTTCTGTTTGTTGGGCTTGGTTGGCCAATGTAAATGTGTGCATGATTCAAATTTGTTGCGTCACCATCAGCCACATACCAAAACAAAGAAATTGTGAGAGCCTTACTTTTCTGGAGAGATGAAGAAACATGTGTACAGAATGTCAAATGTTGAGAAACGAGAAGAGAAAAAGATGTGTGAAAAATGTCTCAGACGAACATGTTGACTTGAAAATTTGTGAGGTCGAGTGCGTAAGAAGTTGGAGAGTGGAGAAGATACATCACTTTTACAGGTGATGAATGAAGCGTCCGGACATGTAAGGGTTCGGACTCTTAAGGGTCAGGCCGGTGTAAGGGTCCGGGTGATCGGCTCTGCCTGGCCGCTCGAGTACGGCTGTGCCTGGTATATGGCTGGCCGGCCAAGTTTGGGAGGGAGCTGGGATAGGTTTTTTTATATAACACAGGTGAATGAATGATTGTCGGTGCATGCTCGTTCCGCATTGGCCGATGCAATTAGGATGTTGTAGCCGATGGTAGCGGCACCTCGGGCGTCTCTTCGAGCGGACACAGCTGGGTCTATATTTCAATCCAGGGCATATCAGAAACCGCTTCACGCGTCGAGAGCCCCCATGCGGCTTGAGTGTCTATAGTTGCACTTGCGCGTTCTTCGCTCCCCATCCCCCTGAACAGAAAAGACTCGCCCACAATTGCGTCTCTCCATGTGTGCCGCGTTGTTGGACTCTTGATCGGTCCATTGACCCTTGTGCAGCTTCCCTTGTGGATCTCAATTGACTTGCGAAGTGACCACCACCAGCCCGGTTAGCTCAGTCGGTAGAGCATTCGGCTTTTATCCGACCTTCGAGGAGTTGATGACCGAAATGTCGGGGGTTCGAGCCCCCCATTGGGCGCTTCTTGTGTTTTCGTCAATGCCGGCGATGCACCTGTTTTGCTAGCAAGCAGCGGATTTTTTTCATGTTCGGTTGTTGATGGTTGACTGTTGTTGACCGGGGGGGGGGGGGTTAGATAAAACAAGTAAATATGAATAATAGGTAGCAACAAAGGAATAGAAAGCAGAAATCATGAAGAAATACAAATTTCAAGGTATAGATAGTGATATTAATTATTGGTGTTGTGGATGTGTGAAGGATAGGGTTGGTTGAAGCAGTTGGTTGACATTTAGATGTTTCTTTTTTGTTTAGGAGTGAGCCTCATTCTGATTGAGAGCTTGACTTTCAGTGGACTTGTGGGCAGATCTTGAGTTGACTTTTGTGATTTTTTCATTCTAGCTGCATGATGCAAATTTGCTTGATGGGGATTTTCATGGTTTTTTTCTTTCTTTTATTTTTATTTTTTTGGACATCAGCCGTGTTATTCATGGTTTTCACCATGATTACCAGGACTAGTAAATCAATGAGGATCACACATCCATATTATGATTCTTCACATGAGCATTGAAGGCAATTCATGACACAGGCTACATAAAGACAAGTAGCTTATTTGAAATCAACACCAGGGGAGCTTATTAAGAAAATTAACCAACCAGGAAGTGGACTTCTTTTCAGGGTGTAGCCTGGAGGGTACTATGTTTGGACACTCGTTGATTCATTCCTGTGAAATCTTGACAAACTTCTTGTGAAATTCAAAGGATGCGGAATACCACATGATAAAATCAAACCCTCCTTTACTGAAATCTAATCAGTCCATTCAGACTCTCTCCAATATTCAGCTGTTGTTGAGAATCAACACTCCTCAACTTAATTCAAATTCAATTCTTCCAATCAACATTCTTTGCTCGTCAGTTAATTTTATGAGCAGTCGCAGGGACTCTTATATGTAAAGACCCTATCATGTACATGTCATGGACACCACACTTGTAGGCCGCAAGGAGGAAGATCCAATCCTCTCCCTCATCCTACAATCAACCAACTAGAACCCAGAACCCCAGGCCTTTCTTCCTCTTCCCAGAACAGACCATAACATATTGGAGGATCTACCCTATGGCAATGAAAACTCAGAAACAAACAAGATACCCACCTATCATCAGGAACAATCAATGATCACCAGATGACAAGTGACATCAGGTGCTTATTGATTGGTCCTGGTGTATATACCGCAAAAAACAGAAAAGAACCCCTCCCACTCCGCCAGAACATACCCAATCCTGCACTGTTCCCACACCCCAACTATGGATGCCTCCAAAGTTAAACAACTCAAACAACAGATGGTGGACATGATGTGATGAAAGCCAAAGATAGACCCCGCTTCCAACAAGCTGAAGCAAAGTTGTTGTCAGGGGGAACAAGTGACACAAAAAACCCTGCCTTGCAACCCTCACAAACCCGCACAAACCGTTGTGGAGCCTATATAGGCAAGGCGGTAGCTGCGGGTCTCAGCAGTAGCTGCCACTGATTACATGGTACATGTGGAAAGCTGAGGCAGACCAAAGTAAACAAAGGAAAGTATCAGGGCTTTTGTTAGGCTGAGCAGATTAACTTTTGCTTTTGCCAGCCGGAATAAGCAAGCTTCCGTTGGCGACGGAGAAAGTGCGGGCGGGGAATTAG